TGGAAGGGACCCTTAAGGATCATCAAGTCCAACTCTTGACACCGCACAGGTCTACCCAAAAGTTCAGACCATGTGACTAAGTGCACAGTCCAATCTCTTCTTAAATTCAGACAGGCTCGGTGCAGTGACCACTTCCCTGGGGAGCCTGTTCCAGTGTGCAACCACCCTCTCTGTGAAGAACCCCCTCCTGATGTCAAGCCTAAATTTCCCCTGCCTCAGCTTAACCCCGTTCCTGTGGGTCCTGTCACTGGTGTTAATGGAGAAAAGGTCTCCTGCCTCTTGACACCCCCTTACGAGGGAGTTGTAGACTGCGATGAGGTCTCCCCTCAGCCTCCTCTTCTCCAGGCTGAACAGGCCCAGTGCCCTCAGCCGTTCCTTGTACGTCTTCCCCTCCAGGCCTTTCACCATCTTCGTAGCCCTCCTCTGGACAATCTCCAACAGTTTCATGTCCTTTTTATACTGTGGTGCCCAGAACTGCACACAGTACTCGAGGTGAGGCCTCACCAGCACAGAGTAGAGAGGGGCAATCACCTCCCTTGACCTACTAGCGATGCCGTGCTTGATGCACCCCAGGACACGGTTGGCCCTCCTGGCTGCCAGGGCACACTGCTGGCTCATATTGAACTTGCTGTCTACCACGACCCCCAGATCCCTCTCTTCTAGGCTGCTCTCCAGCGTCTCATCGCCCAGTCTGTACGTGCAGCCAGGGTTTCCCCGCCCCAGGTGCAGAACCCGGCACTTGCTCTTATTGAACTTCACTTGCTCTTACTGAACTTCATGCGGTTGGTGATCGCCCAGCTCTCCAACCCATCCAGATCCCTCTGCAAGGCCTTTCCACCCTCATTCGAGCCCACAACTCCTCCAAGTTTGGTGTCATCAGCAAACTTGCTCAAAATACCTTCTATTCCTACATGCAGATCGTTTATAAAAATATTGAAAAGTACCGGCCCTAAAATGGAGCCTTGAGGGACCCCACTTTGCTTTCTATCAAAGCAAATTTTAAGGGGAAGTCAGTCCTAACCAAAGAGGATGAAAATGGGAGAGACAGCATTGCCATGGAGCTGTGAAATGTTTTATAAGCTTTCTGTACTTTCTTTCTCTCAAGGAACTCCATAAAGTCAGAGTGAAAGTTCACTTTGTGTAATGTGTTGGTAAAATAACAATTTTCAAATCGTCAGTAATCAACTTCATATTTTTTCCACCTCCTCTGTTGTTGCCTAGGATACAGGACAATAACTAGAATTTACAAGTTCTGAGGGAGATCCTTACCTGCACTACCACATTGTAATGCTGTTGGGAAAGGGCCAGAACAGCATGAAACTCCCAGTTTTACCTGATGAGGCAGGACAGATACAGCTGACCATGCGACTGACTTCCTGCTTCCCCTAGACCACCTTAGATCTTGATGCAGAGGAGGCGGCACACTGCCAAGATTCCAGGCAACCCAGAGGTACAGCTGTCATTTAAGATACCTTCCCCTCCTCAGTGCTCACCTCTCAGATGTTTCTAACAGGGAACTTCTCTGTCTTTGAAGGAGATCAGCACTGAAGGTCCAAGTTATCTGATTTGAACTGCCCCCCCCCCCCCACCCTAGGCTGCAATTGCTCTGCTTCATTTCTGACAAGAGAGGACAGTCTTCTTTCTGGGACTCGTTGCCCAGATGCACTCCTGACTTGTTACAGGACTTCAGCCAGTTCACTCAGCCCTGTTTCTGATCTGCAAAACAAAGATTAACTGAAGACATTTCAAATAGCTGTTTCCTTCAATGGTTATGTCCTTGAGTTTAAAAACAACAATAAAAGGGGAAAAAAAATAAAGGGGGGGGGGGGGGGGGGGGGGGAAGAAAAAAGTTGCATTAATATATGCTTCCCAAAGCTGGAGATTAGACTTTACATTTTGGAGCATTAACATTCACCAAAAACAGACAGAAGGAGCTAAATGCAGTGTTTAAAGCCAAGCAATGCAAATCAAGATAAATTTCTACCAATGGATTTGTAGGTTTCTAAAAATATAATGCTTTGTACAATTACAGTTTTAAACATTACACTGATGTTTATGACTTTCATTTTATTGACAAAATACAGTTATCCTTTTAGTATATCTCTTTTGTTCTTCCCCATTTCATCCACAGTTTTAGCTGTCTGAAAGCTTTCAGGTTTTATCTTATGAGAAGATGTACAAGAGAACAGAAAGTAGTTTTAGTTTGGGGTTCCCTCTGAGACTCTTCTTAAACACAATTTGAAAGGTGAGAGAGCTGCCCCAGTAAAGAGCTTCTGAAACAAATCCAGAACAACAACAACAACTATTCAGCTCATGTCTTAATACCTAACAAATCATCGTATCGTGAGAACATGTGGGCATGTATAGCTCTGATTTTACTTACAAGGTGAGGAGTAGATTTGACTGGACTAGATATTACTATCACAGTATGCATGGACAATCTGAAATATTTTAACAAATAACTGTGAAACAAATGCACGTGCTGCTTTGTAATCCACAGAATCTGTAGTCACTGGTCTCAACTCCTGATATATCCCAGTTAGCTAAGCATAAATAAAAACACAGTGAAAGATAAGATCAACCTGATAAAACCAATTTTTTTTCAGTCCCAATGCAGTTGTCATTGTTTTTCTCCTCCAAATAATCCTATTGATATATAAAAGGTATGGCCACAATTTAATCATTAAAATAATTATAATTCCACTCCTGTTAGGAGTGGTCTCTGCAATAAGCTGAGTATACTCAGATGTCTTTGCAGAGACTAACTGCTCTTAAGCTTAGAGGGCTGTTTGGCACCAACAAATGCTGCAGGACAGTGCTTGGTAGTCTGCAGAGAGCTGTCAAGGAGACATGCAGTTTGGTGGACTCTTTCTCTTTTCTCCTTGGTTGTTCCTACTCTTAATGCATTAAAAAAAAAAAAAAAAAAAAAAAAAAAAAGACAATATAATTTTGCCAGAGGACACCACAGTTGTAGCCCTATAGCTATGATCAGGATATTTATAGAATATGCCTCTAATGTTAGATTTTCAAGCAAGCGATTTCTGTGTTTCTCACGAAGTTATGCTGTATTAGTCATGATTGGAAGCAGAGGAAGCCTGCTCAACACATGTGAATATTGCCTACACTGTGGAAAACACCTGAGCAGCAGCTCCCACAGTCAGAAATGACAGTAGTAGTCTCAGACCGGACGGCACCAAGCTCTAATGCCCTGACACAGATACAAAGGGATTTTGCACCCGAGCTCCTTGCTGGGTGGTCTGTCCAAGCTTTGCTTGGCCATGGAGTGAATCAGTAAGGGATGGCACGCGTAACATATGTTGTTTCCCTCCCTCACCAAGCAGATGGTGATTGAAAGTGGCATAACCTTACAATTGGTAAAAAGTCTACAGCCAGTTGTTTTGAAAGGCAAACACAGGGAGTGCGTTTACCTGCGACAGGAAACTATCTTCTGAAGGGGAAGGCTGAGCTGCCTCTTTCTCTGAGCGGGGAATTAAGGAAAAGCTCACAATAGTCCACATGAGGCATAACTGATAATTTTCTTACTAAGGCTCTTGAAAATGTTATTTTTTTCCTCTATTTTGTACACTGTGTCCCGAAAAAAAAAAAAGTGAGGCAAAATACTGCAATTTTTTTTTGAAAAAAAAAAAAAAAAAAAGAGTGCTCTAATGTGCTTTATGCTTGCAGAGAAAAGGGGACGTGAGGCAGAGTTCCAGGCTATGATCGCTCAACCTGAAACCGTATGCTTTTCTTCAGTGTACCAACTGTGTTAGGGAAATGAAATAAATTACATCAAGGAAATAACTAAAACACATCCAAGTGAGGTATCTTAAAATACAGCTGTCAACTCAAAGTCCAAATCAGAGTTGGAGTTTAAAAAATTTAGTTACTCCATCAGTTTTGTGGGATTACAATTACTTTCTTTTTATTTCAAATTGCTGTGAAAGCATTGCACAAAAGAGCAAGGAACTACACAATTAACTGAACATAGAAGGAAATATTGAAAATGACTGTATACAAAGCTTTGGTAAGAGTACAAAAGAGAACTGGAATAAAGGAAAACACATTTACCTAATCACTGATCTATTATAGAATATAATGGAAGTAAGTGTAGCTAAATTCAGAAATTGGCATGACTTTTAATTAGCAACATGCTTCTTTAAGGTGCGTGCCTGTGTACTTCTTGGAATGTAAGCTCAGACCTGACTATCTCATGTGGAAGTGTTAGCTTGAAAGTCAGGCTTTTCCCTTTTTTATTTTTTAAGCTTTTCTGTATTGCAACTTCCACCCTGAACTTGACAAATCAGACTGTAACTAAAACACCGGAGAGAAACTACAAGGGAAACCTTTTTATGAGTAACAAGATACAAAACCCACCTACCTCCCTACTCTGCTCTGCAGGTGTTCACCACCTTTATTCTCAGGCAGCCCAACTGATTACTTAAACAATTGTATCTAACTTCTTTTGTCCTTTTTTTTTTTTTCTTTCTTTTTTTTTTTTCCTTTTTTAAAATCTTGCATTTTGCTGCTTCTTTTCAGCCACGGCAGGGAAACAGGTCAAAAGACGTGTTTGCTTTTCCTAACTGCATTGGCAGGTCTGATGAACAATGTTCTTTCTGCACTGACAAAAATGAAGACATTTGTGTTTAAAAAGAAAAAAAAAATAATAGCTGAAGAGAGATTACTACACACTTGCCTTCACTACCTTAACTGCAGAAAGGTGCAGTGCTGTTGATTTTCTGGGCAGTCCCCAAAAAACTTTCTGCTTGAAACTAAGCTAACCTGGAAACGGCTAAAGCTGGCGAAGGGCAGCGGCTAGAAGGATCAGACCCGAGCTGTGCGGATCTGAAGCTGTGCCCTCACTCGAAGGCGCACACACTGGTGCCCCTGCGCTCCACCAGCACTGACAGCAGCCGGCTGCCCCAGCTCCTCCGGCTGCTGCGGCGGCCACAGGCGTCGCCCTGACACCACCGAGAAGGGGGGGACCGGGGGGAAAGCCGGCGCGACCCCCAGCCCGGCCCCGCCGCTCGGCGCCCCCTCCCCTTCCTCTCTTTCCCTCCCCTTCCCAGCAGGGCGAGACGAGGCATGGGGGCCGGTGGCCGTGGTGGCCCGGCGGCAGGTGTAGGCACACGGCGGCAGCGGCACCCCGCGACCCTTCAGACCCTTCAGGTAAGGGCGGCCGGGTGGGGGGCTCCCACCACCGCCGTGGGGGCCGAGGAGGCGCCCCCGGGCCGCCGGGCGGAGGGCAGGGAGGCCGGGGGCGGCGGGGCGGGCCGGGGCGGGGCCGTGCCGCTGGCTCCCCGGGCGGCGCTGGGGCCCTGCCAGAACCATTTTGGTTCGCGGGGTGGCGGCAGCGCAGCCCCCGACGGCCCCAGCGCGGGGCTCCCGCTGTCAAACCCGGCGCGGCAGTCCCCGAAAGGCTTAGTGAAGGGGTGTTCTGCCCGGCTAGGCGGCTGTCGAAAGTGTCTTATTTATTTTTATTTTTTAATCTTTTCGGCCGGCTGTCGGAGCGAGGGAAGCGCCTGCGCCGGCTGGGGCTGCGGCGAGCGTCGAGGATCGCTGGAAGAGTGAATTTCTCCTGCCCGAGTAACGGGGAACGGGGCAAACCTGCCGCGGCTCCCAGGTGGAGGTAGGTGCTTGCCCGGGCTAACCCCAGGTACGCTGCTTTGCCTGGTACTGTGCGCCGTGCAGATCTCTGAAATACTTCTTTCTACAGGTACTGCCAACTGTGCAGCTTGTTATTCACGCGAGGACTCCTTTAACGTGTTTAACTGGGTCCTCTCGCTCTAGGTATGAGACCATAGCGCAATAAACTTCTGAAGGGTATGCTTTTGCTTAGCAAGAAGTCCTAACTTATAAACAGTTCAAAACTTTGCACTTCCATGCTGTTCTCTCTCTATGTATGCTTTGTTTTTGTTTTAGTTTTTTTTTTTTTTTTTTTTTCTTTTTTTCTTTTTTTGTCTGTGAGCTACTTCAATAAATTATTTTCAATGTGCCTTTTTTTGCAAGCCAAGAATTGCCCTGTACCAATGTGTCTGAAATGTTTCTGGTACGGATTGCCATTGACATCTTCATCAGGTGAGATCTCTAATTTGGCAAACAGTGGAGGAGGCTACGGACCTGCAGCCTGTGGTGTGCCGAATTCCTTCATTTTCATTTTTCCTTCATTTTCTGTTGAGAAGGAGCTACTGACAGCTACTGCTGTGTCACCTTATCATTCAACTTCCCTGCAGTGAATCACTTTATATCCACTTACATTTGTTTTTCAGAAAACTGACTGAAATACAACAATTATAAAACAATAACACTAAAGCAGAATCAGGTGTTTGAACTGTGTGTGCACACATTTTTAGGAAGAGTTTTATTTACAGTTTCTTTCAAGATAGAACTCATGCTAATGATGAGTAAGATAGTTTTCAGCGCTTTTCTAAAATAAAAGTTTTCTCTAACTGTTAACGCTGAAGAGAATCTAAGCCCATGTACTGTCCAGGTGAAAGTGAGTAGGACTAGGTGCAAACAGGAGAAAAAAAAGTCATATTTCTACACAATATGACTAGCCAAAGTGCTTTCTGAGGAAGTATAATCTTTAATTCTTCAGTATTTGACGTCTTGATACTTAGCCATGTATCATGGTTGTGTGTAGCCTTTTTTTTTTTTTTTTTTTAGTGCTTCATGCATCGTGCATGGGGAAGAGTAAAGAAAATTTAGATAGGCAATTATAATTAGACCAGTTTAAGATTGTCTCCTATTTAAATAAAACTTTCCTTCATGGGGAAAAAGTTTTAAACCTCTAAAGTCAAGTGTTTTTTCACTATCAAAGGGAACAAGGTAAGTGTTGGCTTCAAAGCAGTAGTCCTCTCCTTGTAGACAGCGTAACAGTGTGTAGGAACTGAGAAATTTTCTGGTCTTTGCATAGCTGCAGAACATGAATACAACCTTAAAGTTGAAAGGAAGTGCATTAGCACAATGATTGACCTCAGATTTTGGACTTTGGGCAAGTAACTATGGCAGGGGGGTTGTGCTTTTTCTTTCTTTCTTTCTTTTTTTTTTTTTTTTTTTCTTCTTTCTTAAGCTTTGTAAAACAAGCAGGTTGCATTAGGTATTCATAGGACAAACTGCAGTTACAGAAGAGTTTCTAGCCTGAGAACAGAACAAGAGTTTTTTGCTTTAAGGTGGTGAGTGTCAGTGTTTTGGGATGCTGGGCCACAAAGTGAAGAATCAGCAAGCATTAGCCTCAGCTACAGGAAGCAGCCCTGTCACTGCTCAGTTTTGGCAGTCCCTTGCGCTGAAGTTTCTCTTTCTTTGTATTTGACCAAAATTATCCCAAAACATAAAGCAAGCTGTCCCATTTTTGGAGGTTTCTTATAACTCTAAAATCTCACGTATGGAAATGAGGTTTGGTTTGTGTGTGCAATTCTAATTTCATGTTGGAGATGTATTGCATGAAGGAACTGAGAAAGGACAAGGCAGAGGGCTAAAAGAAATGAATTATGTTTATGCATCAAGTGAATAAAATAAATTTGTGCATAAATCCCAATTGTTGTCGTAGGGATTCCTTTTCCTATGTTATTTCCATCTGTCTCTGCAATCTATGTGGCTATCACTGTGTCTCCTCAGCAAACCACAAGTTAAGCTTCTCCTTCAAGATAGATAGGGAGGTCTGTCACATTCTGGTCAGAGCAAGTCACTGCATCCCCTCCCTTTATGTAAGAAGTAACTCTGAGAGTTGGGGGAGTTACAGGATGGACAGAACTGATGAATCAAACAAAAATTTTATTCTTGGCAACTCAAAACCCACAATAAACATACAAGTCAGTGGAAAGTGATACTGTTGTTCTATGGGGGGGATTCATGGAAAGAGACAAAGGAGCGTGCCTTTAACGCGTAGGTGAATTTAACGTGGGGCTCAGTTCAGAATAGCTTTAGCAATTTCTTCTCCCAAGTCTTGCTGTTCCCTCGTCTGTTAGTGATGCTGCACAGCTGGCAGATGAACAGATGCCGTGAGAACTTTCCCTAGTAAGAAAGGTTAGTGGCAGGAGGAATGCTGTTATAGGAAGGAGCTATGAAAAGTTTGAGAATAGGGCAGATGAATGAGTTATTGAAGTTTGCCATTTGGTTATTAAGAGAGACACAATGCTAAATGATAAGATGGTGCTGTCTGACTGTAAGTAAACCTTTCTTCTCTGGATTTCGTTTTTGTTGTTTTCAGTATTATAGATACGTAGATACAAGCTTTAAATATTTTAAGTCAGGTACCATTCTTTTTTTGGAAGAAACTACCTCTCTATTGTAACAAAAGAAAAAAAAAAAAAAAAAAGAAATGAGACTTGCAAAGGCAAGAACTCCTGTTAAGAAATACCAGCATTGGTAGCACAGGCAGACTTAATTTCTTCCTGCACATGTATCCATGTATGTATATTAAAAGCCTGTGTGTGTGTTGGTAATATTTACGTTGCCACAAATTGTCTTTTTTTTTTTTTTTTCCCTAATAAGAGTTCCACCTTCATTTGGTGAGACAATTATTCTCCATTTTTTTATATCTTGCACCTGATTTATTTGATTAGGTCCTAGATTTAATTTTAGCCATTCTACACCAAAGATGAAACATTTTATCTCTTTCTAAATGTGCATTTAGTACAAGTATTGTAATTGTAGTTTTAGAGTGTCTTGTAACAAACTGATTAATTTTCACAAGACCTGCAAGTCATAGAAACCTAGTTACTCCTATTTTAGTTATGGTAGTTACTAAGGCAAATACAATCAGTTCTGGGTATCGCAGCTGGGTATGAAATACTTTAAGGGACTATTTTTACAGCAAAACACAGAGCTTCTCCTCACATCTGTTTGGCTCTGTGTTTTGTCCCAGCTATTAAAAAACAACAATTCTCGCATTTGTGAGAACTTTGAGAGGAGTCAAGTCTTAGATTTGTGTAGGAATTGCAGTCTTGAAAAGGAGTTCACTTTGATAAGAGGGCCTTCAGTGTCTGTACAACAAGATCGCTCTTCTCCTTGTTTCTCCCCCCTATATTTAATTTACTACATACCCTGTAACTTCTGCAACAAAGTGAGCTGAAGTTCTGTCCTTTCGTGTACTGCACTTACTGATTTCCCAGAACATAGACAATTGAGTGGACTCTAGAAACTATTGTTAACACAAATGCCAATTTCTTTATGAAGTTTAGTGAATTATGAAACAAAGTACATATTGGCAGTAAATAAGTATCTCTTGAGATCTGATCTGGTAAAGTGCTATGCACCCGTCATTTTCACAAATTTGGTTATCCAAATGAGGTCTCATGACCTTCAGAAAAATTGAGCTAATAATTCATGTATTAAAATACAAGAAACAATTGTTCATACAAATAGTATTTGCAAATTTTCAAGGTGAAAATTACAGAGTGTAGAATATGTGAGGCCAGAGTTTAAAAATAAAGCAAATTAGTAGTGAACTATGACTCTGAATACATTTTAAAGCTTCTTTGCATAAGCCAACAAACACACATTAACACTTAAAAGTAGTAAAAAAAATTAATAATAACTTAAAAGCCACCTGTAAGACTAGAGCCGAATGTCTGTATTTATACTATTTTAATTAGATGCAGGATTGGGAGTTGTCAGTAGGATGACTTTTTTTCTTGAATGTGTTAATGAAGATGCTAGGACCATCAAAACCTGTTTTAATTGACTGGTATGATTTAGGGGAAAAAAGCTATCCTTACTATGTCCATGTGCATACTTATGACCCACTTTAGTAACATGAAAGAATTCCCAAGAAAATTTCAATATGATACTGCTTTTTAAATTTAAAATGTCTAAAATGACTGTATGATTCCTCCTTTTATCTTACAATTTAGAAACTCAGATAATGGTAGCTCCCTTCATTTCCAAAGAACAGACAGACTAACTTGGTGTGTTTCTGTAGATTAAGTTAAGTAGACCTAACAAGAGGAAGGAGCTCCATATAAGCAATAAAACCCTATGGCATTATTTCACTTTAAGGTTAACATTCCTTGGCAGTTCTTATATATACTTGCTCCAATGAGATACTGTTTTAGTTTAATCTTTTTGTTAGTGAGTATGCACGCATAAACACACAGACACACAAAAAGGGAATTCATTAACTACAAAGACTTTGAAATCCCAGTGTTTTAGTGCAGAGTTTTTCCTGGCAAAATTAGTCATGCTTAGATATCTGTAAAACAGCTATTGAGCATGAAGATCTTGTCATGCTTCTGAACAAGACAAAGAAAAAAAAAATCGTTTAGCTTCCTTTCCTATGTTGGTCTTGCCGTATGCCACCCCTCAGACACCCGATCTGTGGGTCTCCTCCAGCGGTGGCTGCCCAGGGAGTGCTCCAGCAAAGGGTCGTTCTCTCTGGAAAGTCTTCTGTAGTGGTGCCTGCTGCACTGTAGATGGGATTACTTGTATATACACCAGCCATAATTCTGGTAGTCCCCAGCAATGTATTTCTGTAGAGATTGGTTCTTCAAGGTATGTTGCATGAAGGAGACTCATTCCTATGTGCTACCCACACAATTTTTATTTTTCTCATAACAGTAATCCTTTCCACTTCACTACAATTCTGATTCAGCATTATAAAGTTGTTAAAGTGTTTCCTTTCAAAACTTCGTATTAATGATCAAGAAAATGTAACAAAATGCACATTTCCTGCACCAGAGTCCGTGTTCCTAGCATATTGTCACTGATTCACCAAGACTTCCAAAACCCATTCCTGTCTTTACCAGCAATGTCCTAAATGTGGACCTTTGAATGAGTGGGTAGAAAAGCAG